ATCATGACCAAGTGGGATTCATTCCAGGAATGCAGGGATGGTTTAACATATGCAAATCAATAAATGTTATATATTACATCAACAGAGTCAAAAACAGAAACCACATGGTCATCTCAATAGATGCAGAAAGAGCTTTCAATAAAGTCCAACACATGTTCATGATAAAAATCCTTCAGAAAATCAGAATACACGGTGTCTACCTCAATCTCATAAAGGCCATCTATGACAGACCAACAGCCAACATTATCCTAGATGGACAAAAACTGAAAGCTTTCACTTTAAAATCAGGAACAATACAAGGATGTCCACTATCACCATTCCTACTCAATATAGTTCTGGAAATATTAGCCAGGGCAATCAGACAAGAGAGAGAAATAAAAAGAATAAAGAAAGGAAAGGAAGAAGTTAAATTACCACTATTTGCAGATGACATGATATATAGAAGACCCAAAAATCTCCATTAAAAGACTACTAGAGATAATAAAGAGATTCAGCAGTATACCTGGATACAAAGTCATTACTCAAAAATCAATAGCATTCTTGTACACAAACAAAAAACTCACTGACAGAGAAATTATGGAGATATCACCTTTCACAATAGCATCTAAAAAAATGAAATACTTAGGAATCAACTTAACTAAGAATATAAAAGACCTATATGCTGAAAATTATGCTATGCTAAAAAAGGAGACTGAAGAGGATATTAGAAAATGTAAAGATATTCCTTGCTCTTGGCTAGGAAGAACCAACATTGTGAAAATGGCCATACCCCCAAAACTCTTATACAGATTTAATACAATCCCAATCAAAATACCATTAACATAACTCACAGATCTAGAAAAAACACTCCTAAAATTCATTTGGAAACAAGAAACCTAGAATAGCAAAGGCAATTCTGGGCAACAAAGGCAAGGCAGGAGGCATCTCAATTCCTGACTTGAGACAATACTACAAACCCACAGTGACAAAATCAGCATGGTACTGGCAAAGTAATAGAACTGTAGATCAATGGAACAGATTAGAAGATGCAAGCACAACTACAAAGACACTCAGCCACCTGATATTTGACAAAGGGTCTAAACATGTTCACTGGAAGAAGGATAGCCTCTTTAATAACTGATGTTGGAAAAATTGGCTCTCTACATGCCAAAGACTGAAACTAGATCCATGTCTATCACCATGCACAAAACTAAAGTCTGAATGGATCAAAGACCTAAATATTAAAACAGAAACACTAAATCTACTGGAAGACAAGATAGGCAGAAATCTTGGAGACATAGGGGTAAGCACACAATTCATGAACAAAACGCAAACTGCACAAGAAACACTTCAAAGGATCAGCAACTGGGATCTCATATTATTGAAAAATTATTATACTTCTAAAGAAATCACCAACAAAGTGAGAATAAAACCCACAAAATGGGAAAGAATTTCAGCCAGCAATCCCTCAGACAAAGGACTTACATCCAGAACATATAAAGAATTGAAAAACATCAAGCCCCTCAAATTCAAAGACCCTCTCCAAAAATGGGCATCTGAGATGAACACACTTCTCAGATGAAGGTATACAAATGGCAAATAAATACATGAAGAAATGTTCACCATCACTGGTCATTTGAGAAATACAAATTAAAACAGTATTGAGATTTCATCTCACTCTGTAAAGAATAGTTTCCATCAAGAAATCAACTGAAAGCAAATGTCAGCAGGACTGCAGGGGAAAAAGGAACACTGCTCCATTGTTGGTGGGAGTGTAGACTGGTGTAACCACTGTGGAAATCATTATAGAGATATCTCAGAAGACTAGGATGGAAAGTTCCATTTAATCCAGCTATTCCCTTCCTGGGTATTTTCCCAGAAAAACTGAAAAGGTCATGTCACAGGGATATATGTGTACCCATGTTCATAGCAGCACAATTTCTAATAGCTAGATCTTGGAAACAACCAAGATGCCCATCAACCACAGAGTAGATAAAAAAGATGTATTTTTATACAATGCAATATTACTCAGCTATAAAGAAGAATGGTCTTGAAGCCTTCATAGGCAAATGGAGACAACTTGAGGCTATCCTCATTAGTGAAATAAACAAGAATCATGTTTATAAATATCACATTGTGTCTCTAGTGTAAAAAGTAATAAAAAATGTAGGAATGTATAATTGCTATTGTAAAAAAGAGAGGAAAAGAAAGTGCTCTAAAGGATAAAACTGCATGTATGTTTAAGTGTGTAAGATTGATAACCATATTACTAAGTTTTTGTTGGATCACTGAACAGAACTGTTTGCAATCTCAGTTTGAATGTCCATTTTGTATGCTTTACTTTTGTAACTTGAACAAATATTTCTAAGAGGACAATATGTAATTATCAACTAGTGATTCTTACTGTTTATTTTTTTTGAAATAATGTATTATTTCTACCCCTTTTCTGTTTTGTTTTGTTTCTCTTTAAATAAAATTTTTTAAAAAGGAAAAGAAAGAGTTGTGCAACCTTGGGGAAATCATTTAAAAATCTTTGAATCTCTGTTTCTTTATCTGCAAAAGGGAGCCGGTTGGTAATACTTCCTGCAGGAGTTGTGTTTGGTGAAAGCACCTTGCCCAGTGTCTGGCAGTCACAAAGCTCCTAATGAATGTTTGCTGGATCTGAAACAAGGGTGATGTGAGATGCCCTGAAAAAAAAATTCTCACCAATCAGGCCACAAACTAATTTATTTGAACAAGCTCAGCTTCCATGTTTTTATACCTAAAGAAGCCCGGGAGTAGATGCTAGGCTGGAAACCAAACTGATGCCAGAGAAATGCAGGTCAGCAGTACAGTTAGGGGCATCAGGAGAAGAAATCCTTGAATCAGAAGAAACATTCCTTACACCAGGAAATGCTACTTCTCATCCCTCTGCATTGTCTGAGTATCTGTGTCCCTGAAAAAGTCACCTGGTGAAACGTGGCCCTGAATATGATTGTACTAGGAGGTGGGACTTTTGAGAAGTGATTAGCTTTTGAGGGCACTCCCCTTATGATGGGATCAATGCCAAACAAGGCCCCAGAAAGAAGATGCAGATATAAAAGAGGTCCTTGCCAGACACTGAATCAGCTGGTGCCTTGATCACAGACTTTCCAGCATCCAGAACTGTAAGAAAGTTTTATGCCAGATGTGGTAACCCCCTCCTGTAATCTCAGCGCCCTGGGAAGCTGAGGCAAGAGGACTGAAAGTCCAAGCCCAGCCTGGGCAACTTAAGGGATCCAATGAGAGCCTGTCTCAAAATAAAAAATTTAAAAAGGGAAGAGAAGATAGCTCAGTGCAAAGGCCCTAAATTCAATCCCCAATATAGCTGAAAGAAAAAGCTGGGAGCTGGTTTGCTGCTGAGTGATAGAGTGCTTGCCTAGCATCCTCAGTGCTCTGACCAATCTCAGGACCGCGAAAGGAAGGAAGCAAGCAAGGAAGGAAGGAAGGAAGAAAGGAAGAAAGAAAGGAAGGGAAAGAGAGGGAAATGGGAGAGAAAAACAAAGGAAAAAGGAAGAATGAGAGAAAGCGAGCAAGTCAGCTGCAGTGATGCACACCTGCAATCTCAGGTACCTAAGAAGGCTGAGGCAGGAGGTCAAGGCCAGCCCAGGCAACTTAATTGAAATTACCTCAAAAATCCAACTTTAAAAGGGATGATTAGGACTATAACTCAGTAGAAATATGCCTGTCAAGCACGTGTAAGACTCTGTGCTCAATCCTCAGTACTACAATAATACTGAAATAATAATAGACTTCAGTTGTTTTTAAGTCACCCAGTCTATGGTATTCTGGTATAGCCACCCAAATGAACTAAGACCCACTATGCTATATTACATACCATCTCACTCACCTGACAAAACCAATACATCGGACCTAGAAATCTAGTTTTAGGAAAATCAATTCTGAAGTTTATTAAACATCTGTCTTCCTACATTTGGGACTTGTAAGAGCTATGTAGAGAACACCTCAACAGGCATAACCGCCCCAGTCGTGCTGATTCAATGGGAACCAATTACTTCCCCAAGCAAAGGTTCCCATTTAGACAATCAGACTCCAAGATGTTCATTGGATCATTATTCATTCATTCACTTAGCTTCCTGTTGATGTGTCCTCTAGGATCTGAGGCTCAAAAAACATTAAGACTGGTGCCCAAGGTCATGCCGTTAGAAGGCAGCAGCACTGGGACTTCACCTGAACAGCCATCTGCTACTCTAGGGAGTACGACACACATGCCACTAAGCTCCAGTTCCACACGGGGCTGGAAGTCACCCAGCTGCAACAGGCAGAAATTACTAACTCAGCACATGAAAAAAATCACGACCCCATTCCAGGCGGCCACAGACTGACCTGCAGTCAGGGGCTAAAGTCTCACTAGGAACAAATACATCTCTACATCTGTCAATACAGAATTTAATACCTGGTAAATCTTATGTAATGCATACTTAAAAATGAATCAGTAGATAGATAATACTCACTCCTAGCTTTCACTGAACACTGTGCATAATTAATCTTTAGAAGCCGCTATGTTACCTGTCTTACATCTTTAGCAAAGTACTTATTACAGTTACATAATTTTATGATCCCAATGACAATGAAAAAAAATTGTTACCTACGAAAATGACCTCCAAACCCAGACACCTAGGCCTGTTTTCTGTACCACAGGAGCTGTACTTAATATACTTTAGCCAAGAAAATACGTTCCCCAAAGTTGAGCAAAGCCCCATCATTCAATGTAGGTAAGATACTTCTGTTCTTTGCTAAAAAGGACATTACCATTTTGTTGTATTTAAAATTATACTGATTAGCAACAAGCAACATCAAAATGGGACTTTGGGCTAGGGACATAGCTCAGCAGCATAAGCACCTGCCTGGCAAGCACAAGGTCCTGAGTTCGATCTCCAATACCAAAAAAAAAAAAAAAAAAAAGTGGTGCCCTTGACTAGGATGGAAAATAATTTACACCAAACTTTTGGTAACTACAATGAAGACAAATAAACAAGTACCTGGGAAATCAGGCTGAGCCCCGGCCGAGGCCTGTGCTCAGTGGAGTACTTCTGGCTGGAGCTGGAGCTGGAGCCGGTGTACCAGTCCCACTCGCAGGGAGAGGGTAGTAATGTGTTCTTCTGCACCCTGGAAAAGACAGGGTGGTTAGAATCCAACCTGGTCATTCCCAGGAGGTAACACCTTGGGGACTGCACCTAAGCCCACACACCACACAGCTCGCCCCACGGGATGGCATTCAGTACATCCATGGCCTTCACATTCATCACCATGACCACCTTAGAGCATTTTCATTATCTCCAAAACTCTGTGGCACTGGCCTTTCACTTCCCAGCACTAGCCAGCTAAGTTTTCTCTCCAAAGATTTACATATTTCACAGAAACACATGCATACCACTGTGACCTTCTGCAGCTGCTTACTTTGACTTAACATTGTTTTCGAGGTTCCTCCATGCTGCAGTATATATCAGGACTTTATTCCTTTCTATTATTATATTCTCCTATTCTATGTGTATAGTACATTTTATTTATCTGTCCATCAACTGATGGACATTTGGGCTACTTCTACTCCGTGGCTATTATGAACATTCACGTACAAGTGTTATATGGATATGTTTTCATTTCTCTCAGATGTAGTGGGATTACTGCCCCTGATGTTTGTAGTTTTAAAATGACAGAGAGCATAAGTGTCTGCCTGGCAAGCGCAAGGTCCTGAGTTTGATCCTCGGTACCAAAAGAAAATGGAGAAAATAAATATCCACATAAAGTTCAGTATCATCATTTCAACTGAGGGTAATCCTGAAGAAAAAGACCAGGCAAGATTCACCTTTCTGCTGGGCAGAGAGCACACACAGGCAATGCCAACACTTACGGAGACTGAGGCAGGAGAATCACAAGTTCAAGGCCCTCCTGGACAACTTAGCATGACCCTATGTCACAATAAAAACAAACAAGTGGCTGGACTTGATCCCTAGTACCACCCCCACCAAAAAAAATCTCATTTCAGGTGGAAAAAAAAATACTCAAAACAGCAAGAGAAAAAAATGTATTGTGGTAAAAACATACTCAGGTATTTATCATTTAAAGATGTGTAACAAAGGGGCTGGGGATTTAGCTCAGGAGTATTATAAGCACCTGCCTTGCAAGCAGGCGGTCGTGAGTTCAATTCCTGGTACCGATAAAACAAATAAAAATAAAAATAAACAGTAAAGATGTGTAACAGAGAAAACACTTGAAACTAAATTTGTTTTTCACAGCTTCTGGAGTAGTGGTTCATCTATTTATGGGCTAGCCACTGTCAGAAAGGATGGCAAATATTTTTTCTTTTGTCTCAGCACAAAAAAAAAAAAAAAAGCCAACAAATACCCCAGTTCCCTCTCCCATGACTTCCGCATGTTCCCTTCCCGCACTGCAAGGAGGCAGGTGCATCTCTGGGTTGGGGAGTTCACAGAGAAAACCTGCAGCTGGGGCAAAAACCAGGGTTTTCCCGGCTCTGGTCCCCTGGTCTTCCACTTGCCACAGGCAGCAGTACATGGTGGCATCCGGTCGCATCCAAGCAAAGCACTCTCCTCCCCACTGGACAGACAGGAGAGAAAAAGGAGGGTGTGGACTCTATTTGTGCAGGCGGGAAGCTCATTTCCCTTCTCCAAGGATCAGCAGGAAACCCAGGCAAAGGCTAAGGCGAGGCCATCTGGACAGCTTACAAAGCAAGCTCCAGGATTACAGGCCAGCCGTGCAGTCATGCAGTCTCTCTTTATCACTCCCACGGTTAAATAAATGGTTAACCAGCCAAGATGTGCTTTGTTACACTTTTTGGTATGAAGATGGAACTTTTCTATATGTATCAGCTCCAAACCGCTCTTGTTTCTTCTATGAAAACAACTTGCTTTTAAGTCAGGTTTTTTGCATTTGTAAGACATCCGGCCTTTAACTCTTTTTTTTTTTTCCTGGAAAATTCCAGGGTGTTTTTATTTCTGTTTTTTGTTGTTTGGCTACTGCATGAAATTCCAGACCTCAAAACTGCTAGGCAGGTGCAGTGTGGCTGAGGTGTATCTCCTGGCCCTTCCAGGGGTTTCTGGTACTCTCACGGTCAGAGAAGCTTCTCTAGTAACATGCTATAAAAATGATCCCAGAAAGTATAGTCTTTTCCAGGGCTTTTTGACACGTGCAAAAACTACAAATAGCAGTCATTCATTTCTAAAATCTACTTTTTTTGAGACAGTCTCATCATGTAGTTCAGGCTGGCCTCAAATTTGCAGCAATCTTCCTGTCTCGGCCTCCTGAGTGCTGGCTGGGATTACAGGTGTGTACCGCCAGCACTCTAAAATCTACTATTACTGACTGGAGTCTCTAAAGAAAAAGTTGGCAGAAATAATTAAAACATACTTTGGTTTATAATAGTTTTGACAGAAATGTAAAAGTAATGACAGGTAAAGTGCACAAGAACTTAACAAACTATACATTTTTAAGGGAAAATCCATGAGGTGGGGAGTGGCTCAGTACTTCTGTTCCAGGTGTCACTGTTTTTCTCTTTTTCCTCCTTTCATTTGTGGCTGTCCTGCAACAGAGAAGGCGCTAGCAGATACCTGCTTCATACCCAGCACAGGTTGGGCAGCAAGGTAGACATGCGATTCCTCCAGTTTCCAGTGGTCAGCTTGCAAGACTCAGTTACTTGCTGGCTGACCTGTGACTGTGCAGTTGACAGACCAGAAGCCCAACTCACTCTGCTCCCAGACAGCAAGAAAAAGGAGTGTGTCAGTGTCAGCGACACAGTGAGAGGAGAGAATGAATATCCTGAGGTTTTGAAAACCAGCTTATGTCTGAGTTCCAGTTATGTTTTAAAATGCATACACAGCCACTCCTGAAATGTCTGTGCCTATGTGCATGTTGCAGTGATCTGACTACAGCCTGAGAAGAACTAAAGGGATGGTATTCTTAGAGGAAAATAACCCTCACGATTTAGCCAATCAACTCCGTAGAAATCTCTGACCTGAAGCTTCTGGGAAAGATTTCTCTTTGTAAAAGCACAACCAATAAGCTACCTTCTTTCTGAGATCTTATTTCAAACTGCAGGGAGGGAAGAGAAGGGACTAAAAGCTAGGGGGAAGGTCAGGGAACGCAGCAGGGTTACACTCCAGGAGCTGTCGGGGAGGGCACCTCTGGAAGCCTTCAGTGTCATGGACTCCAGCATCCCCTGCACCACCCAGCCCTGGGAGCTTGCAAGAAACTGCAGAATCTCAGGCCCCACCACAGCCTGCAGAATCACAAGCAACCCGCATCTTAACACAGTAATTCACATGCACATGAAAGCTAAAAAACAAAGCATCAAGGTAACCCTGAAAGCTGTGGAATTCATGAAAGTAGCATTTGTCAGCAGGAGACGAACCCTCCTAGGATATCCAGAAGGGAGTGTTTTCTATAAGCTTTGTAAAGAGCAGGTCCATGCCCCAAGGAAGTCTGTCAGGTAACAAGCCGTCAGCAAACAAAAATGGGACTAGGCTGGATGGGCTGGCACATACCTGTAATCCCAGCACCTGGGAGGCTGAAGCAGGAGGACTACCTTGAGTTCAAGGCCAGCCTAGTTACAAGTAAGTTCAAGGCCTGGCTGAACTACATAGTGAGACCCTGCCTCAAAAAAAAAAAAAAAAAAAAAAAAGTAGGGGTCAGCAAAGCAATGTTTTATCTGTGTGTACCTGAAGAGCCTCCAGCACTCCAGGTATTATGGATACAAAGAAGATATCATTTGTCTTTTAACAGCCCCCCTTTGGTGGGGCTTCAGGACCTCTCTCAAAAAAAGTGGGGGAGGGGGGGAGGCATAGCTCAGTGGTAGAGTGCTTGTCTAGCAGGCCATGAGGCTCTAGGTTTGTTCTCCAGCACCACAAAAAGAAAAGACAGAATTGGTTAAATACATAGGTCATATACTGCAGCTCCCCCAAAATCCCTAAATATATGTTCAAAACAAACATTCCTAAGCAATTATAATATTCCTTTCCAGCTGGCCCAGATGTGACCTCAGGGTTCTCCCCAGCTTGGTCGTTTAAGCAGTGCCATCACATGAAAGCTTTTTGCCAGCCCTAAAGAAACATGCAATCTTCCAGTTCTGTATTTTTTTTTTTTTTTGGTCTTTTTCATTTTTTATCGGTACCAGGGATCGAACTCACAACTGCCTGCTTGCAAGGCAGGTGCTTATGCCGCTGAGCTAAACCCCCAGCCCCTTCCAGTTCTAAACTTCTGTTACTCTGAGACCAAGATTCAGGTTTTGATGAGCTGAATCTCACAAGACTCCTTTAGGACCACACTTTGAGGCCAGAGTGGTGGGTCAAGCCTGTAATTCCAGCACTTCGGGAGGCTGAGGCAGAAGGATCACAATTCCAGCCAAACCTGAGCAATTTAGTGAGATATAAGACCCTGTCTCATAAAAAAATTGGGGAGGGGTGTTGTCCCTATGGATGTGGCTCAGGGTGAAGGCCCTGGGTTCAAGGTTCAATTCCAGGTTGGGGAGCCGGGACAGAGAGAGAGAGAGAGAGGTGAGGGGTACAATTTGGTCATTAAACATGTTTTCCATAGCCCTTGCTAAACAACATAGACAGACGCTCTTTCCTCCTCGATGCATACACAATCTTTTACTTTTAGAAGCAGAACAGCAATGATATCCTTACATGGAAGCTGCAACACAGCTCAGTAACACAGTCCTTGCCTAGGGTAGGTGAAGCCTGGGTTCTGGCTCCAGTACCACTAAATAAAGTGTTATCTCAGCCGTCTAGTCCATCTCTAAAATTCACCAGATATCTAAATTTTTTTCTAGTAAAAAAAAAATCTTTTATACATAGGGAGTCTACCTAAATCAAATGAATTACCAGGAGTATTATTAGGTTAGGGGTGCATAATCCTTTGGTGTATGGGGTGGGGTCCTGTGTGTGGCAGGATGCTGTGCAGCCCCTCTGACCCCTACCCACTAAACATAATATCCTGAGTTAAGATAACCAAATGGTCCCCCGACTGCCAAATTTCCTACCCGAGCTAGGACCACCGACCCAATGATTCTCGTGATTCTGTGGAACCGTAAGAAAGTTTCTCTCTTGTTTTCCTTATTTCCTAAACTTCCTCAATGAATATGTACTACTTGTATG